AATCTTCAATAAATTTACGAGAATAGTTAAAGAATGCTACCGTAAAAAATTCATAACAAAAAAAAACAATAGAAATACAAACATAAAATAAATAACAGTTGAATACTAGCTCCTGTACGAGGCGGTCGACCAGCTGATCATTCCTGGCTATTTGCCAATCTGCGTATCGATTTTTCACCAGCTTCGCTCCAGTGCGAACGTGGTGAATGACAATTTGAACACGTAGTCAGCCTAGCGAGGGGCGGAGGCATCGCGTCCCCCACTGTTCCTGGCCTTATTGTGCCCTATCCAGCCGTTTTCCAACCTAATTCCTGCACAAATGTTATCAGAGAGGGCTCAGAATTCTAACCATGTGCATATCTTCGAAACCATTTAGTCGTTAACAGTGCCTTTAAGTGACATTAACATCTTTGATGTGACCTGTGTCGCCTGCATTCGAATGTCTGTGGTCAGCTCAGCCCACAGAGTGGGCAGTTTCCAGTGACCCCTTGGAGGAAAGGACATCGCCACCTTTGTGCGAAATAAATGTTTGATGCGGAAATTCATAACTTGTGATCTAAGACGCTCAAATTCGGTAGGAGCACAGGCGGCAGGATGGGAACATTTATGGTTCGTGGCGAAACCGGATCCTCCCACAGGGGGTGGAGTTTGTGCGAAATAAATGTTTGAGAGGAAAGTCATAACTTCTGTCCCCGTGGATCTGAAGCGTTTAAGTTTGGTAGGAGCACAGGCGACAGGTAGGAACACTTATGGTGGGTGGCGGAACCGGACTCCGCCCACAGTGACCTCGTAGGCGGGGTTTGAGCGGAAAATCACAAGTCTTTACCCGACGGACCTAGAGCGTTCAAGTTTGGTAGGAGCACAGGCGGCAGGATAGGAACGCTCATGACAGGACTTCGCCTACAAGCGGCGGGGTTTGTGTGAAAACTTAAACTTGGACCTAGCGCAAATTTGGTAATAGTGGAGCCGGCACGAAGGGAACACTTATGCTGGGCAGCAGGACCGGACTTCGCCCACAGTGGGCCAGTGGGCGGGGTTTGGGTAGAATTCATAGCTCCTGTGTTCCCGTGGACCTAGAGCGCTCAAATTTGATGGCTGTGCAGGTGGCAGGATAACAACACTTATGTTGAGTGAACTTCACTCCAGACTTCACCCACGTGGGGCGAGGTTTGTGTGAAAAACTTAAACTTGGACTTAGAGCAGCACCTATGTCGGACTGCAGACGTAAATCCGCTCACAGGACAAAAAAAAAGTTAATTTAGGCCTGAAGCAAAATTTTGAAACCAAGGATGAATAAATCGAGTTACTCAAACACACAGAACCTATGAAGGTTTGTTCATGGCGGAAGGGGCGCGCGCAAGTTGGGTTGGGTTATGGTTTATGTTTGGCTGGGAATGAATCACTCCTTCCTCATCTACCGAAGCCTCCAAATTTGACAAAAGTGCAGACGGGGAGACCAATTTAACACGAGAAGGAGGGGAGCCCGGCGTCAGTCGGGCGAGCCGACTGGTATCATGTAAAAGTTTCAGCTTAACGGTCCAATGCTGATATTGGCCGACCGGCTAAATGCGTTGTACGTGTGAGTGCTGATAGGCTATGGCATATAAGCCGTTAAGAAGGCGAGGGCAAGCGAGGTCTTGGTAGTATAAGGGATAACAGCGCGGTCCCCGGAAAGGACGAGTACGTGTTCGAGTGCCGTCCCAGACTGAAATTTTGTCCATAAATCTCCAACCTTGTGAGACTTTCGGAACGCGTACTGCGGCGATAAACAAGACATCAAGTCAAATAGCAAGACTGCGTTGCAGTATAGAAATAGAGATCCAGACGATATTGGCAGTTATCGCCCATTCTGCCTGCTGTCTGTGATCTACCAGCTTTTCACTGGCATCATCCCGAAAAGGATTGGCAGAATATTAGATGAAGGGCAGCCATGCGAGCAAGCAGGGTTCCGGAGAGGGTTCAGTACAATCGATCACATCCACACCGTTACAAGACTCGTTGAGGTATCGCGAGAATACAAAATGCCGTTATGTCTTACGTTCATCGACTTGAAGTACGCCTTTGATACCGTTGAGACAGAAGCGGTAATTGCAGCTCTGGGCAACCAGGTACCCTACTCATTATATAAGGATGCTTCGTGAGTTCTACGACAATTTCACGAACAGGATTTCACCATTCTACTAGGAAGTCATTATCAACGTGAAGAGAGGTGTCCGGCAGAGCAACACCGTTTCACCTAAACTTTTCAGCACCGCTCTGAGAATTCCATGCATCATTTGGAATGGGGAGACTGGGGAGTGAAGGTCGACGGCCGCTACTTAAATCATCACCGCTTTGCAGATGACATCGTGCTTATAATATCCAACATCGAACAAATGCTGGCCGATTTTTACAGTGTTTATGGAAAGATCGGCTTGACGCTGAGCTTAACGAAGACAATGTTCATGAAGAACGGATTGGTACCTCATGCTCCTTTCACGCTGAATGTAACGAATATGTATATCCGAATGCTCCAGCTATGTGTACCTAGGTCGGGAAGTCAACACGATGAACGACCTAGCTCCGGAGCTGTGCGGAAGGAAACGCACCACGTGGGGGCACTCAAGAATATCGAGGGAGTAGTGAAGAGGGCAAAGAACATCCAATGCGCGCTCACCTTCTCAACACTGCTGTCCTTCCGGCTTTGAGGTACTAGCACTCGGAGACTTGCACTCTACGAAAGCAGCATGAGCATGCTGTTTTGGAGAGGACTATGGTCGGAATTCCCCTATACATGCAAGTGCAGAAGAGAATCCGGAGTTCCGAGCTCCGTCATCGAACGAAGATCAGGGATGCCGTTGATTACGCCAAGAAATCGAAGATCAGTGGCCCGGACACGTTATGCGATGTAATGATGACCGTTGGACCAGGGCGGTTACTGACGGATCCCTCGGGACATCGAATGAACTTCAGGGCGGCCTCCAAACGATATGGTCAGGCTTCTCCACAAAAGCTCTGAACGAAAGGAATTCTGAGCCTCTGGTCCCTGAGGCGAGCACGATAACGATTCACTGAACCATGCTGGCTCGTGACAGGAACGAATGGAGACGTTACTGGTGCCCGCTCGAGGAAGTCGATGATCAACGGAACGGCAGTTGCTACATGTGATGGGATGGTGTAATACGGAGTAACACGTAATCTTGTGTTAACTCCTTGATATGCTAGCACACCCTCACCGTTTCTCACGGTACCGACAGCTGCGTACCATAAATAAGGAGCCGGAATACCTATTTTGTGACAATTTAGACACGCAATTTTTATCTATTTAACCCTAATTTACGTCTTAGTACTAGTTTTACGGCTCGGCTCAGAGCAAAACAGCGCTTTACCAAGGACTACATGCTTGCAGATATAGGTAACCAGGACTTCTTTCAGAACAACTAAGTCATATCGAGTTGAAGAGTTGAGCTGATCAACTAAAGCAAGTCCTCAGACACACAAAACAACACAACAATTAGTCCTCGAAATTGAATAAAACTAAGCGTGGAGCTACTGTAGTTGCTGTCAGTACGCAAGTATTATAGCACCCTGGCAACGATGCGTTTTGAACGCGTTTGACTATGGAAACGTCCAAAGTCGTGCGAAATACGTGCCGAATATGACTGATATAGGCTCATGATTATTCTTGGCTCAGTTCAGTAATTGAGAAGCACTGGAACGATCTGGAACGCCTCAATCTCCAATAAGACAAAATATCTCGATTTTTTGTTATTGTTCTTCCTCATGGCATGTGTATTTTTTCATCGAGCAATAGGTAATGGTTATTCGAAATGCTCACTGCTTAGAATTTTTTATATGTACAGCGCCTTTTGTTTGCTGGTGCTATCTATTTCCCTACCCCCGGTTACAGGGCTGTTGTCAACCAGAATTTCTCTCGCTGAGAGAATCAGACGGCGAAGCAGTTCTGCGTGTCGTGTTCACCAGCGGGGGGAAAGGCGTGTCCGCTCGTTGTCCGTACTCTCCTACAGAGCGCTCTCTCGTCAAGAGTAGACACTAGACACTGGTTCCAGGAGTCGAAAAATTTTCAGAAATACAGCCTTCTTCCAACTGAGGAAACTTCGTATTTCGAAGTTCAGGTAGTCTGAGAGAAGGGAAGGCTTGATCTTTGTCTAAATATTAATAAAACTTCTGCATAGAACATCTACACCGCGAAGAATCCAAGTGGCTTGTAGAAAACCCAAGTTTGCAATCTATTTACTAGTTTGTTTTTATGGGAATCAGCGCTGAGATCAACAATATCGTTTGAAGAACTGCAACCCCATTGATTCAGTCTTAACCCGACAGTGTTCGCTAGGTATCCTATTGTATCACTGGTAATAGAAGACGTTGGGGAATGGCCAGCTCTTCCGTCTGCCCTCTATCCTCTTTGCGATGAGATGCCTATTTGGAGAGACGCAGAGAAAACGACAAAAACGCTGAGTCACTNTTTCATCGAAAATTAAAATTTTGAGTTTTTGGGGGTGTAATAGTAGAATAGTGCCCAATTTTTTTACAATACAGGGCTAAGGGATGTTGTGCAAAATTTTTCTCGCATAACCATCAACCAAATTGATAGTAATGCTTTTGTAATAGTATTCATGTATATAGTGTAATAATTTGGGTGGTGCTAGTAAGTTAGGTCTAGAAAGCGCTAATTATGCCTCCCATCCGGTCATGGTTAACATAGTGCGTGGAATACTGTCGGCCTCGTCTGAAAAAGCAAAAGATTAAGACTTTAACAACGAGCGACCGATTACTGTTCCTTCTCAATACTTCAGAATGCAACGAAACTCCAATTTCTAATTCATAGGTTCGATTACAGGAGAAGGCATGATGGAATGCGAAGTGATCCAGATTGGAACTAAACGTGCATTGGCACGTCTTATAGATGCACCGTTGAGAAATGATCAAAACGAAGACTTAAAAGAAGAAATAAAGGCGGAAAACTTAACATAAAGATGAAGTGGGCAGCCAACACTGAAAAAAGTTGTGAAAACCTGATGGGGAGCGGAACTATTCATATGAAATACCCTGCGATCACCCTTGTCAGTCTATGAAGTTGGATGAAGCTAAGCTAAACTAAACAAACTAACATTTTATAGATGCACAGTTAAGATACGGTCAAATGGAAAATTAAGGGAAGAAATACAGAAGAATAGAAAACGAATTAGACAACCTATGCAGAAAAAAGTAGTGAAAAGCTGGAAGCTAAAATGAGCGAACCTACTAATATAAACCCCATGAGAGTCACTCTGCTAAGTCTATGGAAATAAAACCAAGCGTAGTGTTACGGTATTTGCAGTTAGCACGTAATTGCAGACCGCGAGGGGGTGTGGAAATAGATAGCACCTTGTTTGCTCAACCCATTGCTTTATAACTGTAGTTGGAAATGAATGATTCTTCGACCACAATGCCTCAAGATTCTTTAGAAGGCTGTGAGCTCAGCTGATACTTGAAAACATAAAAAAGTTATAAGAACACTCGATAAATAATTTAAATGCTACATGAGCACGATATGCACGATATCCACGCGGTCATCAATGTGTTAAGCAGCTGCCCTTCATCATAACAGAAATTGAGTACACCGAGGGCGTCCGAGAGTTGTCGTGAAAAAGAGTACAAAAACAAAAAATCTGTACGGGCACTCCGCTGTAACAGATAAACTCACCGCCATATAATATGCTTGGGAAGACTGCACACTTTTTAGCGGCACAATAGATCTTAATCTATTTTGCTTGCAGTTTTGCAGCTTTTTGTTTCTTTGTAGTCTAAAATCTGCTGGAAATATGTTTCGCTTGTGCTAGATAACAGCTGCTACTGCACAACTGAAGGCTCTCCCCGATAACAGGTGTTACACTATGTCATTTTTTTCTTTATTATGTACCAGTACCTTTAAAACGCCTGCACGAATGAGAGAAAATCGGCGACCAAATCAAATTTCCCACGGTTTTGCTTGCACGAATTCTGAGTAGTGAATCGATTGGGTTTTGACTAAGGGCTCTGCCCCCTTAGAATCATATAGCTTGACTACATTTTCCGTTCCGTCATACACAATTCTTCCTTCAACTTGGATATGTTACTCTATCTGCTTCTCTCCGCTTCCCTCTAATTTCAATCCTACGTAATATTTTAGCAGCTTGCTGTTCTTCTCATTACTGTCATCTATTTTTTTCTACTCCACTTCTTTGAAGTCGATTCTTGTGAGCAGGGTCAGTTCATATAGCAACTGCGACGATGAAGTTCGACGAGTTTTTGTTCACCTATCTTGGTGAGATGGGGAGGTGAGTCGATATTTCACCCTTTGCAGATAACTTTGTCTATTCTTCTTGTATTATTCCCTCTTAGATACCAAAAAATGCAATTCTTACTGGTGTGTTTTCCGACTATCATCGTATCAATGCATGCGGTTAGCTGGTCGCTAGCCTCTGTTCCTGTTCCCTTTCGGCAAGTTCTTCTTTTCATACTGGCGGATCAGCTTCATTTTCAACGGTCGTTCACCGTGTATTTCGGAAAATATTTTTAGTTGTGCGTTGCCATCTGAAACGAAAGGGTCACCTTACCTGACAGATGATTCTCGGTTTTCTATTAAAGAGTGCCGAGACTGGAATGGTAATCCTGTTTCAATTAATGAATCGAGAGCTTACGGATTTCATGTACGTTATTTCAGTTAAAAGAAGAAGGGGCTTGACTCAATGTTTTGTTAACTTTTGTTATTTCAACAGTGCGCGACCCGAAATCCTCACAAGGTTGGCAGTAATGGACAAAACTTTAGCATCGACAGCACTCGAAGCTGCACTTGCGCTATTCGGGCACCGTGCTCTTATCCCGTACACTACCGAGACCCCAATTGCCCTCGCGCTTTTATTGGCTTATATGTCATAGCTTATCAGCAGTCACACGTAAAATGTGTTGGGCCGGCCAACCAATATCAGCATTGAACCGTTAGCTTTAGCACATAAGTCATTAGGAAGGCGAAGACAAGTGGGGTTTCGGTAGTGTAAGGCATAAGAGCACGGTGCCCGGAGAACACAAGTGGGGGTTCGAGTCCCAGTGGGGGTACGAGGCAGAAGTTTTGTCCGTAACTCGCCAGCCTTGTGAGATTGAAGAGTGCTCTGCATATTTTTCAAATGGTGACGAGGATATTGATCATCGCTAACCACTGTGACGTCTAACGGTTCTCGTTTTCTTCTGTGAATGAGGGTAGTTGCCTCAAGGCACACATCTCTTCGCAACCGCAATTTCGTAGAGATTTCAGAAAGACTCAGTTGAGTTCCTTGGTACCAGGGCAAGAATGCTCATTGATCGGTAAAAAGGATCAGGGAGACGAGGGATATCGTTTTTTGTGAACTTACCGAAGTGTTCTGAGTTATCCATTCAACTCCTGCAGGATCAGTAGTTTGTTTAATAGTATGTGTGTTGCAGAATATCAAACTAAACTTCGTTAATAATTGGAAATCATGTTTCTTTATATTTCTTATAGAACAATCGAAAATGGTTAAACTTTAAGAACATACAACAAGTCTACACCATGGAATAGTCATATTTAAGTTGCAATCCATTGTGTGATCATCACATGTACGAAGGGTGATGTAAATTCCGAAAAACTCGATTAAATGTCATTCAACTATTAAAAAGCTGCCTGAAGAATGATGATTAACAAAGAATGTGCAATCTCTACTCCTCTTCCACTCACTGTTTTATTTTCAGTGTTATTACAATGAAGATTGTAAGCTGGATGGTGCGGAATGTGAAACTCACGTATATGATCGTTCCCGTGTAAAGTATTCAGCTGTGGAACGGGTTGAGTGTTGGGCATTTTTGTAGAAACTGAAAAGTAATATCAAAGCTGCCTTGCACAGAATTGTTTGTGCTTTATAAGCCTCCCCAATCCTTGATCTCTTCATTTGTGAGCTTCTTTAGTGGGAAATCACATGTTCTCGTGGAAACATACGTGCAACCGTACAAGCTTGCTATTACATAGGCCAGATGATCGGTTCGATGGTGTTTGGAATGTTAGGCGACAGGTGTGTTTGTTTCTCAAATTGATTATTGGTCGTATGGACGTTTAATGGATTCCGCAGTTAATGCCTCAGAAGTACCGTGGTAATGATATCCTGGGGCGCCCCTGTGCACGTTGGGGGCTCCGCAGCTATCAAACGCCCATGCGCAGGCCTTCGCTTTGGCGACATAGACTATCGTGTTCGTTTTACGGATAACAACACTAAAGCACCTAATGCAACTCTTGGATTTGTTCCTGGCTACCCGACAGTGGTTCCATTTAGTCGGAAATACGGTCGGGTTGGCTCGTGGCTCGTATTCGTTGCTGCAGTGTGCGGATACTTTTCATTTAGTACTGACCCTTCTTTTTCCCAACTTTTCACGGTGCTCAGTGGTTTGCCCGCGATTCCATTTTTATGCTTAGTGTTGACTTTTTTCATGTTGTAAGATGAAGTGGAAGCGTTCTAGCCTTCAGCACAAGGCACGAGATTATTCTCTCTTTTCTTATCATTAAAGCGGTCGCTCTTTCAGGATTGGTCGAAAGAAAGTGTTTATTATTGCTATTTTCTTGCAAATCACGTGTGGGTTTGCCGTTGTTGGGGTTCCAACATGGTGGTTGTTTGCGCTTTTCCGGTTCGTTTGGACTACCTTATAATCAGACATTTTATCAGGTTGTTGGTCAAGCTCTTTGTAAGTTCATTTAATACCTAGTTCGTTGAGTGTTTCCGGCATATTGTTAAGTGATTTCAAAATAGAACGATTTCTTTTATTGAAACCTATTTTTTGTTTATTACCAGAGTGATTTTTATGGATTTTCAGATCGCTGAGCAGCGTGAGTAAAAAACAGTATTTTCGATACTTTCTTTTCTCATGGCACGCTGCTTCATGTATCTCTAGGCACTTTTTCGCCGTCAGTAATTATTCAGTAGCGAAAGCGTTGCATGTGCGCACGGATAGAGCGGTAGCGAGCAAACAAATCATTGGTGATGGCAATTGGCTAGTTTTTGTTGTTGCCACTTGAAGCATGAGTAATCCATGTTTAACACTACTAAGCCTTTTAGTGAAGATTAATTCGTATAAGAGGTTCTCTGTAATAGCATTTCATCTTCTTTTCTAATTCCCGTGTTGTTTGACTTGGAATCGCTTTTCATTGAAGTCAACTGGACATCCAGAACAAGTACGAAAATGAAAGAAATAGTCTGTAGGAGAAATTTTCATTGAGGAATCCACAGCATCGCTTGAAGAGCGTGGAGATTTAACAAAACGAAGGAGTGAAGATTGCTAATTTTTCATTATGACATCTCATAATGATCTAAAAATTTCGATAGAGATAATATCATGGCTAAAAAAATTGAAGAGTTGAGAAAAAATTGTTTTCAAAAAGCCGTGTGAAAACATGATCACTATCAACCTTATAAATAGATATTATGTTTTTGATGACGATCGCTGAACATGTTTCAGTGCTGGCCTTGGCTTTTCACATCCTGGTATCTTTGTCATAGCTGTTGTCATTGGAACAGAATTGGTCGGCCCAAAATACAGGAAACTGGCAGCTGTTATCACCGGTGGATTTTTTTCTGTTGGACAGGTCAGTCGTTTTTACCCATCAAGTCTTCGTAGAAGGAAGTAGGTTCTGTAGTCGATACGCTTTCAACAGTATCTGCTATTAATTGTTGGTGAAACTTGGGATTCATTCTGTGGCACTGATAATGTAATTAGATTTGTCAAAACTTGCAGTTTCTTCTTGCCGTTGAAGGCTATTTCATCACGGATTATCGGTACTTGCAGCTAGCAATCGTTTCTCCGGCTGTAATATTCCTCAGCTATTATTGGTGAGTTTGTAATTCTCTAACAACGAATGGTAGGATTAAATACGTACTGAAGCGTAGTTTAATAGCGAAGGAAAAAGTAGTTTAATTGGCAAAGAGAGTTATATACATATTATCCTACTTTGTATAATTCGCTAAGTATACGTATAGGTATAGCATGTGCAAAAGGCACAAGTGCGAAAAGTACATCGACAAAACACCGAAAACTAATACATTTTCCATAGAGCCAAGCCAAATGTCAAAATCTTGCAGTAATAAATGAAAGTTTTATAGTTCAGTAGTCTGTCTCATATAAACGCTCTTACTCTGTGTCATATCTTAACAGCATTTTAGCAATCCGATGTTTAAATTGAGCCAGAGATATGTTCAACGGTACTTTTTTTGAGAGCGTCAAATAATGGCTACCAGCTCTAAACGAGGAACTTTTGGCTAGCAAAGTTGTCTTGAGTTGGCTGAGAAAATCTTGTTGGATCCTCCTCTTGTTCTCGAGGGCATTAATTTAAAAACGTTACATAAACCAGAACCAGATAGACCGTGTATCATCTTGTGAACTAAACAAAGGTCAAAATATTACGTCTGGATTGAAGAGGATATTTCCAGATACTTGTTCCTAATTGCAGCTTTTGGTATTTTGTCATAAAGCAAACCATTGAGTCGAATTAGCAATTTACGAGTGAAATTATTCTGAACCTTCTCTAAAGCATATATATGCTTTCTTTTTGATGGATTGAAAACAGTAGAACTAGATTCCACCAACGGACGAACATATGATTTGTAAGCGCGAAGCAGTGCTTCTTTATTCGTAGTAGATAATCCATTGAAGATTTGAAATATGCGAGTGCGAGCCATTTTTACCCTTTTCGCTATATGCTCCGAAAAATCCAATTTGTTGTTATAATTGAAACCTAGGTCTCTAATCGATTCAACAGCAGTAAGAGGGATCCCATCAACAGTATACAGGTGATCTAATGGCCTCCCAGACACTAGTCCCATGTAAACCGTTTTTAGCGGAGCTAATGGCAATTGCCACTGTTTGGACCATTCAACCGTTAAGTCAGTCGCCTCTTGTAGAACTTTCGAGTCATTCTGACTGAAGATTGGTTTGTAAATTTTCAAATCATCCGCATATACTTTTGTCTTAACTCCTACTTCACATAGCATGCTCGGAATTTCAGCTGTAAAAATGTTGAAAAGGACAGGCGATAATACACCTCCCTGTGGAACCCCACTTTTTACAGTTCTCGGGCTCGAGAACGACTGATCAATTTTTACCTGAAACGTTCTACCTTTAAGACAATTTCCGATCCATTCAATAAAAACAGGGTGAAACTTAAGAGACTCCAACTTGAGAAGTTTTTTATGTGAGACTCTATCGAATGCTTTGACAAAATCAATGTAAATCACATCGCAACTCCCTTTTTGTCCAGAGTTTCCGTCCAGTCATCAAGACATTCTACTAAATTAGTCTAAAGTGATCGTCCCTTGACAAAACCGTGCTGCTCATTGGGAATTACCCAGTTAACAGATGTGAGCTCGACAGATACGTTTGGTCTACTGACCACTCACTGCGAAAGCCCTCAAACTTAGGTAATTAAACCTTTATGACACTCTTCGGCACGAGATTACGAGATAGCTAATGACATCCGGCAACAAATAACATCGTGAGCAACAAAACAATTAACATCGGTTAACGAATAACACAACGAAATTCTGAGAAATGGAACTTAAGGCCTGAAACATAATCAACGATAGCATGGATGAGAAGTGAATGCGCATGAGACCGTAAGAATGAGAAGTGAATGCGTATGAAACAATAACGATGAATGCACATAAAGCAATAAAGTAAATACATATAAAAGAACAGGAAAAATGAATGCGCGATCCTGCGTGGGACATAACCCTAAAGGGACAACAACACGACTGATGGGTGGATTTCGCAATCCCACATGGTGCGCGGGTTCTCCCGCGCGATTTCGATTGCAGGAGATCACTTAGATCACGTCGTGATACTCCCCTTTTCGGGGTGGTCCAGCCTTAAAATAATAATCTCTATTCGATTCCAGCTCCTGCTCAATTTCTTCGATCTCACGGTAGTAATCGTAATGCGCTCAGGAAGACGGCATATGGCTTTATTGTGGTCTAGTGAAGAACAGTACATACATGGTCGTTTAGGTCTTGGGCAATTGTGCGTCTCGTGTCTGATGTCCAAACAAAGGTCACAGTGGGACCTCCGGACAGCTATCACTATAGTGCAAACCTTTAGCGAAACAGAACGAACATCGGAGAAAACGGTCCTTGTCTTGCATGGGGTCGTGCCTGTTAATCTTCCTTTCGGGGACATTGCGCTCCGACTCGGCCAGCTTCTTTAGGACGTTCAGCCTATGCTCAAGTTCAAGCCTTTCTTCTTCCGCGGTGGGTCTCTGTCCATCATTACTATTGTCGTCGACACCTCCGCCGTCAGAATGAAGCTCAGAATGCTCGAAAACGACTTCGTCTTCTAAGTCGAGAAGGTCTTCTTCGCTGCTACGTAGCGGTGGAGTTACTGCAATCGATGAATGCGCGTATTTGACGGAATGCGATTGCGAGCGATCCCCTGATTCCTTGACCTTGTGCTCGAGATCAGTCAACCTGTTGATGCACCTTTCCTGTTGCTGGCTGAATTGGTCGAATCTTTCATCAATTTTCTTCTCAAGCCTAGCCAACATGCTCCTGATTTCTTCGGAGATGGATTCATGGGTCTCTGTTTCCGTTTGAAGGTGGGTTTCATGAATTTCCGTTTGGATTTTGTGACAAAGATCTTCCAGAAATTCAATCTCCTTGCGAACGAAGTCTGCCGTGAATGTCGGATCCAGGGACACTCCTTTCACCCTTTCCTCAAAAAACTTGTCCTTGGAGATCGCCAACGTATCGTCCGAGAGAACTAGAAGTCCGTATAAGTCGTAACCCATTGCTAAAGCTTCCGATGCACATCTTGGTTTATCTGTTATGTGAGCTCCTTCGAGATGCACCTTTTCCAAGTGGCTCTTATAAAGGGTGGACTCGCCTTTCGCATAGAACTGGGGCTTACGGCCGCGGATTTCAGTGAATGAGCTAAGAACAGTGTTAGATTGAATAACATCAATAACAGAACATAGAATGGTACGAATTTTGCGCTGAATTTCTTCTTCTGATGGAAACGTCGGTGCCAATTTTATGCATCTTCTTTTGTATGGAATGGTTTCTATGAGTGCGTCTTCTTCAGCGCGGCGTTGTCTCGCGAATTCGTTATCTTTACTCGATGCCATGGTTCTAAATGCCGTGATTTGAGTCTGGTGTTAAGTTAATTAGCAAATTTTATACTGCGTGAAGGAAGATTTTAACTCAACGTATGCGCTTCGGTTAGTATTATAGCGTTCTTCTCTTATATGAACTTCATTTTTGCATTTTGTTTGGCAATAATCCTGAGTAATGATTAGAACGAATATACTGGATATGATCCCATGTACAGCTCTGGTGAATGCGAATGCTATCTACTGCTGGTTTCTTTGATGAAATGCGACACTTTAGCCCGAAAGTTCCACCTGTGTAATGACTAAAGTTTTGATGATTTATTCCTTTATGGTAGTTACCATGTTGGTTTTTGGACTCATGCTGTGACTTGAGTAGATTTTTATGCACTTGTACTTCTTGCGAAGTAGCACTGATGTCCACGATTTCGTGGTTCTCTTTCCGGTGATGAAGGGAGATACGATTTTGGGTTTGTGTTCCGGACGGAATGACTTCCTTCAGTTATAATCGTAAAGACTGATAGCGTGAGGGCCATCTTAAGATACAGTTTCCTCGACCACCTTGGGGTAGCTTTGCTTGTTTGCAACCCATGTACATGGTATGCTTCGACTTCGCGTATGTGTGACTTCCTGGGACGTAAATTGTAGTGCGGGTTGGTGCTTTCCAGTGGCGGGTGCTGTGTATATATTTGACTTTCCTGTGGATCCACAATGAAGTCCCAGCAATTTCGTTGGATTTCCAAGGGTACCAACTGGTTGACAGAGCGTCT